GGCACGGTATTCGGTAACAGGCCTCGTACGACAACTGTACAATGGAATTATTTGTGCAGCAAGCTCGCAGTGAATGTGATGTGTGTACCTCATTTTATTACTCACCTGTTGAAAATATTTATTTAATAAATCTACAGTTTTATGACACATTGTGTAATGATATCGCGTGCTGCCGGAACTATTTGCATTCGGTCACATGACCAAAATAACGTGATCAAAACAAAATGTCTTCTGTCATTCACACCACGTCTCGAAGTTGCGATATTTAACTGCAATTTGCTCGGTTGCGTTTAATGGCATTTTTATAAAAAAAAAAAGGTAGGTTGGTTTTTACACCCCCTTGTTTAATTAAAAAATTCAAATTAAATAGACCAATGTTGACAATCATAAATGAAATGTATTCATACGCGTGAACCTGTTATGGCAAGCGTAATGCACTCGTTCTGTAAGTTGAATTCTGAGAAATTATCTTGCTAATGTTGGGTGAGTAATAGATACCAAACGATTCACTCGTTTCATAAACATGGTATTACATGGGACATCGTTTAGTATTCTCTGTGTACCAGCAGTTCGTAGTCAAGCTGGCAGTATTTGCTGTGTGCACTTTCTCACCTCCATACTCATCGCATTTCAATTCCGCAGATCAAGACCCGTTAAGACCCAGGTTAGAATTGATCTTCAGCAACGCATGCTTGGCGTTAAAGGCGACTAACGGGATCGGGTGGTCAGGCTCACTGACCAGGTTTACAAATGTCATCGTATCCTAATTGTTTAGACCTATGCTCATGCTGTTGATCACATACAGCTGGAATACTGCTGAGTGTGACGTTAAATAACAAGCAAACAAACAAACAAATTACACCTCATTACGATGTTTGATTTGTTTATTTGTTGTTTAACACCGGCCTCAGGAATTTTCTAGCTATACGGCGGCGGTCTGTAAATAATTGGCATCATAAACATCGATTTACGCATTTAGGATATGATGACATGCATGAATCAAGTCAACCACCCGATCCGGTTAGTCGACAGTTATTAGCTCTTGGGCAGCTGAAGACTAATTCTAGTCCGAATTTTTGACTGGTCCCTTTACGAAATATAACACTTATATTTGAAAATAGTTTCAGGTATCTGTCCATGCGGTTACCGACTCATGGGAGATACATGCGTGATGGTGTACAATACATCAATACCCAACGCTCAGGCTAGGAGCAGGTGCCAACAAGATGGCGGAGATTTGATGGCCATGACAACTGGTGACAAGCTAACAAGGCTCGTGAATCACATGCAGGAACATGGTTTGTGGTTGTTTTATTTATATTCAAACGCTTTAGCGAAAAGCGTAAACAATCGAAAACGCAAAAGTTTGTGAGTTTAGTTTTACACGGTTTAAGCAATATTAGAGTAATATTACGGATGGGTACACCGGAATTTGGCTTCACACATCGTGCTCAAGTAGGGAATCGAACCCTGGTCTTTGGCATCAAGTGCCAAAGAAATTGTACCAGGTTGTGCAAAATGCTGCACCCTACGACAGCACCAATGTGACGATCCAACTATTCCCTTTCATTGTATGCCTACGCATACAAAAGTGAGACACGATCAGCATGAATGATGGACTAAGCGCCTGAACACCTGTATCTTATTTTCTTTTGTGTTTTGTTTGATTGTTTTATCTGGCACCGCTCTCTGGAATTTCCCGGTTTTCGGTGGTTTTCGATGGTTTTCTGGAAATAATCGAGTCTGGACCAGACAATCCACTGATTCACATCATTGTCACCGATCTACGCATTTAGAATACGATGACATGCATCAATCAAGTCAGCGAGCTTGACCGCCCCATCCTGTTTGTCTTCTCTTGTGACAAAAAGGGTTACTGAAGACCAATTCTAAGTCTGGTGGAATTCTGAAAGGGGACACATTACATCTGTGTTACGAAGCTGCAGCAAAGGTTTAATTCGACACAGAGCTTTTTGACCCCAACCAATGAGTGAGTGAGTGAGTGAGTGAGTTTAGTTTTACGCCGCTTTTAGCAATATTCCAGCAATATCACGGCGGGGGACACCAGAAATGGACTTCACACATTGTACTCATATGAGGAATCGAACCCGCTTTAACCATTAGGCTAACACACACACTATTTGAATAGCTTTGGACATTCGCAGCGCCTTAAAACACACACACACACACACACACACACACACACACACACACCGCAAAACCAATGAAGTCCATTGCATGTAAGTTGTCGAAAAGAGATACATATGAGATACATTCTTTTGCTTGCAGGAATAGATATAAGGCTAGGCCGAACAGTTGGGAGTCATCTCGACACCAATCAGCAGTGGAAATGGATTGACGGATCAATGGTTGACATCACACAGCACGGGTCCTTTTGGTGCCAGTCGGAGCCGAATTTCTTGCACATTCAAAAATGCATGCATCTGTCTACGAGTTCTACCTGTTTCAAAAACAGCAGATGTGATCGAGAACATTGGTATATTTGTGAGGTGCAGAACTAGCTGTTATCGCCTTATAGTGTATTACTGTAGTACGCTTACAGTGAAACCACATTACCATTTACCCAGGATTAGTGATTGGATTTAGGAATATGCTGACGTACAAAAGATAGTACACATTTGGTGTTTTGGGACCATTCATATTCTTCTGTATCAGCTCCTGAAAGATACAATCTTGGAAAAAACATACATGTTCCCTTCTGACTAATTCCCCGTGATTTGTAATTTCTATTTTTCTCATTGATATTTTTGGGATGTTTATGCAAATTTTGTATATTTTTCGGACAAATATACATGGATTTTAACTTTCTTCATATACCCTTCCCTACTGTTTCTTACATTTAGTTCCTGGACTAGCTATTTTTACGCGTCAATATTCTGCGCTCACCATTTGGTATTCTCAAAATTCTTTTTAATTATTATTTATATATTGTTTTCGGTAAAACTTCATTTTCATTGTCTTTGCCTACATATAACGTTCGTGGCCTCACATGAAAACAAAAAAATTGAATGAAAATATAAGAATGTACATTTGAATATTAGCTCCTATGAAAATGACAATGAGTGTTTGAACTATGTTGTTATCAGCTTTACCGACCTCTTCATCCACGTAAGTTAAATGATTCTGCTGATGGTCAAACTTCTATGCCTTTGCTCAGTCTTTTTTTTTCTTTTTTTATTGAGATACACTTGATACGACAATGTATTTGAGAGTGACTAAAGTGAGTTGTTTTGGTTTTTTTTGAAAAACGTGCAGAAAGAGATTAAAAAGAGAAAGATAGCGGGATAGACAAAGGGTGCAGAAAGGATTTACTCATACGGAATTTTACATCATTTCCCCCAAAAAGAAAAAAAAATGTTTTGTTAGTTTGAATTGATACTTTTATGAAATATATCAGTTGGTTGATATTTACTAAAGTAGAGTCATATCTTGTTTTGTTAATGTATTTTTTGATGATAATAAAAAGGTGGTTAATCAGTCTCAGTCTTTTGGTATTAACATGGGTAGCCATCTTGCAGAGTGTTCAGTTATCATCGTCTGTGTTGCTTCTAATTTATTGTGTCAATAATATGTTGAATTGTAACTTGTCGGTCATCGATAACCGAGAATAGTTTGTATCGTTTATAGATCGACACATTCCAGTTTTGTTCAACCAAGAACTTGAAACAATTAGTTGTGTTGTTTAAATATTAAGGGACCACGTTTGTTGTTGAAAGGAGGGGCTCAGTGCAAATTTTGAAAATGTATTTACAGCAATTGGCAAAGTGGAACTTAGAACCTGTATTCAACCAATATAATTGTATTGGGTAAATGTTTTCAAATTGCAAAATAACTTGTTTGTCTTACATGATGAATTGACGGAGTTAAGTTTTACACCGCTTTCAGCAACACTCCAGCAATATCACGCCAGTTTACACCAGAAATGGGCTTCACACATTATACCCATATGGAGATTCGAACCCGGGTCTTCGGCGTGACGGGCGAACGTTGCAACCACAAGGCTATCCCACGGCCCCTCTTTGTCCAAAGAAGAGGTACAGCGTAAAGTTTGGTTTCGATTTTCTACCTTTTTAGGATCACCGTCCATATGTTTTTCGAGCGAGGGTACAAAATGGCGTGATTCAAGGCTAGAATAGACCTTAAACATACGATGTTAGTCGTGAGAGGGTACACAATGATTTAAAGCTAGAATAGGTCTTGAGCACATCATGCCAGTCGTGCGAGGGTACAAAATGGCGTGGTTCAAGGTTACAATAGGCCCCGAAAATACTATGCTAGTCGTGCGAGGGCACAAAGTAGCGTGATTCAAGGCACAGGGGCGTGTCACGCTTAGAAACAGCGTTAGAAAGACGTATAGGTATATAGACCCTACCCTAGTACTATATAAAAGGAAAGGGATGTAACGACGGAACAACCCCGCACCCGCAACCCCAATTCCTCAATCAAAATTAGATTTCACCACGTAAACTATTTGTAAGACCCCGTCGAGGCCTATGGATCAAAAGCGAGATGATTTCCCTACCAAATGAGCTATAAATGGACACAATCGGATCATTATTTCAAAAGTTATACGCCACGACTTACCGAAAACAGCTACCTCCACAATTCCAAGCCAAAATCATGGATCACCAAGGACAGCGAAACTCGTTTATTAATTCGTTTATTAATTCCAGCCACGTTGACAGCACATATGTAGGGCTAGATTCGATCGGCAGCGGAAGCGGTCCTTAATAGGTTACACTGACTTTATTTAACAGAATCGATAGATCGTTGAAAAAAATGTTTGGTTTAAGATAAAATAAAGTGATGGAAGTAACGCTACCCATTCAATTGATATATTTCGTTGCCAATAACAACAGGGACATGTAGCTCGGGACTAATTGATTTTCTTTAAATCCCTAACTGCCTTAACATGGATTCATTATCATTTAATCTGACTGCGTAACTTCACGCAACAGAAACAGCAGTCGATAGTCCAACCACACCCGTGCTTTCATGCACACTCAAAGCTGCAGTCACACTCAAAGCTGCATGTACACCACACTGTAAAGTTCTGTGGGCAACAACGTCGGGTTAAACTTCTGACATTCTGAGATGTATGGGCTCACCGTACTAGTTTCCTTCTGTCTTCAGTACACCTACAGCCATACCGTGGCTCGACACTTCACAAGGGCGGAGGAATTAGAGGATAAAGTTGGGAACGAGTGGATTCGGGAATTGGCCTACGACACATTTGTTGACTGTGCAGGACTTTGTTTTAAAGATGAAACTTGCTGTAGTTTTTCATTCTACTCTGGAGCGTGTTATAGACATATCTCACACTCGTCATCGCTGTATGATAACTCGACCGGAATGAAAACGTTCTTCAAGAAAGGTAAGTTGCTGGTATGGAAGGGAATATTCAAGGGGGGCCTTTGCGAATGTCCAAAAATATTCAAATGCAAACAAGTAAGGAAAATTTATATGCACTTTTGTTACCTGTTAACCCGTATTCAGTCGGTGAAAGGGCTAGAATTGAGGCCAAAACAAAGCTATGTGATGTAATTAACCAAAACATTATTGTATTTCTAATATTAAAGTTATAAAATACAAGTTCTGAAATCAATACCGCAGTAAATAGATTGGCAGTACAAATTCAAATGTAATAAAACTCAAGAGCAATGACTACAGCAATAAAGACAGTGATGGTAATAGTCACCTCTCAACAACATTAATCCAAGTTGGAGGAAAGGGCTACCCAGAGAGTGTCCAGGGTATAGAGAGATCACACAAAAGTTGGTTGGTTGGTTGGTTGGTTGTACCCAGTAGGCTACTATGAGTGAAGGAGTGAGTTTAGTTTTACGCCGCAGTCAGCAATGTTCCAGCTATATGGCCGTGGTCTGTAAATAATCTGGACCAGACAATCCAATGATCAACATCATGAGCATCGTCCTACGCAACTGGGATACGAATATATCTGTCAACCAGGTCAGCGAGCTTGATCACCCGATCCCGTCAGTCGCCTCTTACGGCAAGCATGGGTTCCTGAAGATCAATTCTTACCCGGATCTTCACGGGTCCACAAAATACTCGGATTCTTGTGGCTCGAGGTGTAATGACATGATACCTAAGAAAATTATGCGAAAAAGTTCTACGCTAAGACATAAGTTAAAGCTCCTTGTAGCACTTTCCTGAACCTTCTGTACTGTTAACAGCATCACGGGAGATGCCTGTAAGGTTATAGGACAAGTCTAAATATAGCACACCACTGTCTCTCACTGAATACCACATGTACAGTACTTCTTTTCGCCGGTACACATACCTGATGTCAGTCGGTTCAAACCATTCTACTGAACCCATGTGAACTGGTTAATTACAGGTAAATGAAGAACATCGTTACAACTATTCATCTTTATATTGATACCCAAAAGAAGCGCACGCTAATAACATAATCTTCTTTGAAATAAAATTAAAGAAATCTTAGTTTTTTCTGTTCATCAGCCACAATGCTCACATCAAAAAGAAAGTAACAGACGCATTGTGTAGCTGTAATTTAATAATCAAACTGTGTTTATCGTTGTAATATAAAATGCTATAGTGGTATGTCAGATCTTCGTAAAGAATGAACTTTTGTTACGGTGACGATAACAATTAAATCCAATACTGACTTTGAATCAGGCCATGTTATATCAATAGACGGTTCTAATGGAATAGTGCTGTCGGAACCAATGAGTTTGTCTGGTTAATGATCTACAGAAACAATGGGTCCTGGATTGCCTAGTTAATCGTACGCAGGCACGGTATTCAGTAGAGGCCTCGTACGACAATTCTACAACGGAATTACATGTTGCTATGCAGCAAGCACGAGGTAAATGTGCGTGTGTAACTCATTGTACCATTGTTCGTTGTCAAGCTGGCAGTATTTGCTGTGTGCACTTTCTCACCTCCATACTCATCGCATCTCAATTTCGTAGATTGAGAATTGGTCTTCAGTAACCCATGCTTGTGGTAAAGAGGCGGCTAACGGGATTGGGTGGTCAAGGTCGCTGACTTGGTTGACACACGTCATCGCATCCCAATTGCGTAGATTGATGCCCATGATGTTGATCACTGGATTGTCTGGTCCTGACACGACGATATACAGGCTGTCGCCATATAGGTGGGATATTGCTGAGTGCAGCGTTAAACAACAAGCAAACAAACAAATCTCACCTCTATACGATATTTGATTTGTTTATTTGTTGTTAAACGCCGCCCTCGGCAATTTTCCAGCTATATGTCAGCGGTCTGTAAATAATTGACTCTGTACCAGATAGTCCAGTCACTGGCATCATAAACATCGATTTACGCATTTAGGATACGATGACATGCATGAACCAAGTCAGCAAGCCTGACCACTCGATCCGGTTAGTCGCCAGTTATTAGCTCTTGGGTAGCTGAAGACTAATTCCAACTTGGATTTTCACTGGTTCCTTTACGAAATACAACACTAATGGTTGGAAATAGTTTCAGGTATCTGTCCATGCGGTTACCGACTCATGGGAGACACATGCGTGATGGTGTACGATACACCAATACCCAACGCTCAGGCCAGGAGCAGATGCCAACAAGATGGCGGAGATTTGATGGCCATGACAACTGGTGACAAGCTAACAAGGCTGGTGAATCACATGCAGGAACATGGTTTGTGGTTGTTTTATTTATATTCAAACGCTTTAGCGAAAAGCGTAAACAATCGAAAACGCAAAAGTTTGTGAGTTTAGTTTTACACGGTTTTAGCAATATTAAAGTAATATCACGGATGGGTACACCAGAATTGGGCTTCACACATCGTGCTCAAGTAGGAATCGAACCCTGGTCTTTGGCATGACGCGCAACCGCTTTAACCACTAGGCTACCCCCACCGCCCAAGTGCCAAAGAAATTGTACCAGGTTGTGCAAAATGCTGCACCCTACGACAGCACCAATGTGAAGATCTAACTATTCCCTTTCATTGTATGCCTACGTATACAAAAGAGAGACACGATGAGCATGAATGATGGACTAAGCGCCTGAACACCTGTATCTTATTCTCTTTTGTGTTTTGTTTGATTGTTTTATCTGGCACCACTCTCTGAAATTCCCCGGTTTTCGGTGGTTTTCTGGTTTTCTTGAAATGATCAGACAATCCACTGATTGACATCAGTGTCACCGATCTACGCACTTAGAATACGATGGCATGCATCAACCAAGTCAGCGAGCTTGATTGCCCGATCCTGTTTGTCTTCTCTTGCGACAAAGAGGGTTACTGAAGACCAATTCTAACTAATTCTAATTAAAGAGGGGGACACATTATATCTGTGTTACGACGTTGCAGCGAAGATTTAATTCAACACAGAGCTTTTTGACCACAAAGAACTGAAGTACATTGCATTTTTATTGTCGAAAAGAGTTCCAGATGAGATACATACTTTTGCTTGCAGGAATAGACATAACGCAACGCCGAACAGTTGGGGGCCATCTCGACACCAGTCAGCAGTGGAAATGGATTGACGGATCACAGGTTGACGTCACACAGCACGGGTCCTTTTGGTGCCAGTCGGAGCCGAATTTCTTGAACACTCAAAAATGCATGCATCTGTCTACGAATTCTACCTGTTTCAAAAACAACAGATGTGATCGAGAACGTGGTTATGTTTGTGAGGTGCAGAACTAGCTGTTATCGCCGAAAAGTGTATTACTGTAGTCCGCTTACAGTGAAGCCACATTACTATTTTGGATTTAGGAATATACTGACATACAAAAGATAGTACACATTTGGTGTTTTGGGGACCATTCATATTCTTCTGTATCAGCTGCTGAAAGAAGGAAAGATCTTGGAAAACAAACATACTTGTTCCCTTCCGACTAATTCCCCGTCATTTGTAAATCTATTTATCTTATTGATATGTTTGGGAATGTTTATGTATTTTTCGTACAATTTTCGGAGAAATATTCACGGCTTTTAACCTTCTTCATTCCCTTTGTCTACTGTCTACTGTTTCCTGGACTAACTATTTTTATCCGTCAATATGCTGTGCTCACCATTTGGTATTCTCAAAATTCTTTTTAACTATTATTAGAGCTCCATGCCTCCAGGCAAGGAGACCTATTGTAATCGTTCGGATTATTATTAATATACTCATGCCATACTCTGGCTATATTTCAGAGATCCGCTCGTGTGTCAAAAACGTGTTCTGTGTGTATTTTCGACGATTTCTTGACTTCAAATATACTTCAAACATCTCTAATTTTGAAACCAACCGTCCGATTTCGACCAAAATGTGTGTATACACATGAGTTCCCATTACCGAACACACACATATCTTTTTGTTTTGGTACATATCTTTTTCATGATTGTTAGCGGTAATTGAGATAGCTGATGGAAGCGATAGTAAAATCTACCAACATCCCCACTCGCTCGCTTTACAATTGCGGAAGATAGTTCTGATTAAATAGTCATTGAAACAGAAGTAGTTGTTATTAGTTTTATCGGTCGTTATTCAAAACAATCAATTAACCAATATCAGTTCGTGTGTAGAAATTATATGGATATTTAGGTCGATTTTACACCAGTTAAACCACCGATGAATGGCGGGTACCACGGTAGGGCAGGACACGTTCACCACTCATTTTCAGTATATTATCACATCAGTTGAATACAAATGACTATGTTGCAATGGAACCTTCAACCATTTTACATTTCCTCAACGTTCTAATAAAGCCAGCAACTGTTTGAAAAGCCACAAATGTCATTTTCCAAAACCAGATTACACAACCATTTGTATCTAGAACGATGATAGTTCCACTTTAAAGTTAATGAAGGAAACATTTCCCATTACTGGAAGTGACATGATCCAGACAATATTCCCATTTACTATTCTTTTAGAATCAGATGGCAGATGGTATCGGTATTTCCTCTGAAATCATATCATATGATCTCAGTCACTGGATTAATTGGCTAGTCGGAATTGTACACTGAGACTTATGGGTTTTTCTCGCTTCTATTCACAGATTTCCTGTATTTCCCAAACCAGAAATCTGAATATTGAAAGGATAATCGTTTGATTGCAAAACTTGCAACGAAGGAAAAACACAAATTGACTAAGTTCGAACTCTAATTGCTAACTGAGTTCTTTCGGGGAACTGGCAAGAAGGACCGTGTAGCCCTATATTGCTGCCAGCAGTAATATTTTAAATGGTGTTTTCGGTAAAACTTCATTTTCATTGTCTTAACCTACAGATTACGTACGTGGACTCACATTAAATAAAAAACTTGAATCAAAAAATGTACATTGGAATATTAGATCCTTGAAAATGATAATCTATATTCGATCTATGTTGCTATCAGTCTTACAGACTTCTTCATCCTTGTAAGATAAAGGAATCTGCTGATGGTCAAACTATAATGGCCTTTGCTCAGTCTTTCTGGTTTTAACATGGGTAGCCATCTTGCAGGGTGTTCAGTTAATATCGTCTGTGTTCCTTCTAATTTATTGTGTCAATAATATATTGAATTGTAACTTGTCGATCATCGATAACCGAGAATAGTTAGTCTCGATTATAAGTCGACACATTCCACTTTGTTCAACCAAGAACTTGAAAAGTATTGGTTGGATTGTTTAAAAAATTTGGGGACCACGTTTGTTGTTGAAAGGAAGGATTCAGTACAAATTTTGAATATGATATTTTTAAATTCAAGATTTACAGACATTCACTAATTGGAACCTAGAACCAATATTCAACCAATAACTTGTAAAGGATAAATGTTTTCAATTTGCAAAACAACTTCATTGTCCAATTTGATTACTTGATGGAGTTTAGTTTTACGCCGCTTTTCACTCATTCTCACTCAACATTCACATTTACTCTACAAGTCAAAACATTGATTACACAACAGTCTCGTTTCCTGCTGACTGAATTCCGTCCTATGGCGCAACTTAGTACAATAACCAGGCCAGAATTTTGATACCAACTCATTCAACTGGATATGTAAATATTAATCAGTATTATTTGATATATCTAACCACTTGTATATTGCAACACTACGCTCCTTCTAATCTTTGCAAACACGTCGTGCAGCGTGCTCTGTCGTACAGCGTGCTCTGGCAAACGGAAATCTGGAAATCGTGGAAATCTCAAAACGAGGCTCGGCTGCTAGAAAAGTTTGGCGGTCTGGTACGGACTTGATATTATATCAATCAGATTGTACGTTACAAAATACACTTAATAAGAGCAAAGAACACATAACAGGTGTAACCAACCGCTAGATGAATTGTGAATCATTTTGCGACCTCTTCAAACAGGGGCAGTCTGTGAGGTCTTAGTTAACGACATGCTGCCTAAACCTCGCCATAAAATATAGAAATACGATTTTTTTTAAAGTTTAAAATTAAAATCCATTTGTAAATACCATTTTTATGAAACAAGGAATTGGAATTTCGTGTAACCATAGTTGCTCGTAGTGTCTCTTTTCACTTTCACACGAGAAAATTCGGATCGGCTGAAAAGTAGGTCATTGTCTCATGTGACTCATGTTTCGGTTTGTGCGTTGTCGCATGATTGTTAGTACAAATATATTGAACTTTTTCACAAAAGTTAGTTTGGAAATAATGATACAGGGGTGTTCTGTGTTAATCTACCATTACCATTTCCATAATGCATAAAAATATATTCTTAAGATATGTAAAACATCACATTAAAAGTTGCATGTCGCCAGCGACGGTATATATATTTGTTGCATCAAAAATAACACTTTTGATAGTGCATGTTATCGTTTCATGCATCATGTGGAAGATATCATGCTGAATTTTACTGTGAGGTAGTCATTTAACCTAATATTTGCAGTTATTAGTCAAATTTTAATGAAATTCCATTGTCCCCAATTCTTTGGTATTTTACGTTATGATCCAAAAGAAAGAAAACAACATCAAAGGAGAACAAAATACATCCAGTAACTTCAAGAAAGTAATCGCTCATGCTTTATTGAAGACATTGAACATCAAATCCATTTGTTGTACTAACTTGTTAAGCTATAAATATTTTGGGAAGATACAATCATATACAGTATAAATCTATAAGGGTGTGTTTTACGTTACGACGTTATAAGACCTTATACAATGTACATAGTCTGAGCATATCTATGTGATCATGTGGTAGAGAATATGCAACCTAATTCCTTTTCCTGTCTCCTATATTCGCACTGTATCATTTGTTTAACTTGTGTGGCTCATAAAAATGACTGGTGTATTTTCCGTTACGTATTCTACGTAACGGTATTTTACGTTACAGATCCATATATGGCTATTTAACATCGCATAATGTGCATATTTAACTAACAAATTTGATGACGCCATAAAAACGTGTTGCGTCATTCATGCTGATTTCAATGTACGTGCCTGCTGCCCATGAAGCTCTGACGGGTTAAATCATCCCTAAGTACTGAACTTTCAACCCTATGATTCTTGTATATGTGTACCAGTCAAACTGGTAAAAGTTTATCAATAAGTGTAATGAAGATATTCTAATGAGAGATATAATGTATAGTCATGCTCGGTATTGAAAAACATACTGAAATTACCGTGTGGCTTGTGTAACGTAAAATACAGTTGCTGTAACGTAAAATAGAATTAGATTGTACTGGCGTTAAATGAACATGAATGCCTATATAATGCAACGTTTCTGGCTAAACGTTTGATAAATATATATAATTAATTCATTTGTATTGGCAGTGTTATAAAAATGGCAAAAACTGAAAAACTGAAGCAGTTACGTTTGACATTATTTTACGTTACAGTTGTATTAAATGTATATTAATGATACATTTGATGACTACTATGGAGCAAATACATATATTTCCAGGTCGCATATCTCCTTGACGTTGTCTTTAAATATAGAAATGCCAAATGTAAGGCTTTCAATATTATTTAGATGAACTAGAGATTTTATTTGGAAATTCGCTTCCGAGTTTCTATTTTTTAGGACCACCGTCCATACCTGTAGGAGAGGTGCAGCGCATTGGGTTTTTTTAAAAATGTATCTAGAATATTACAAGTTACATTTCTTGAACTCGGAAAAAGGCCCTATGTTTGTTAAACTAGTAACTTTGCAGTCAATTAATGGATCGTTTTCAGATTTGGGTGATGACCTGTTTGTTTACAGGAATGTGCACTGCAAAATTGATAAAGATGTGGGGTTGTTTTTAGTCATCGTCGGGGTTATTAATAAGTCTTGCTCACATATGTTAACTTGTTGATATTTCAAATGCATCCTCTATTTTATTTCACATTACTAAATCTTAAAGAAACAGATATCACAAATTAATATTTTAATATGATCTTGCTGAAATGGAATCATAGAAAACATGTACATCGGATTACATAGTATTATTTTACTTGGACAGATTTCATGTGAAAACGTGTTCAGATGAACGGAAATGTACTGCAGTTACATGCAAGATCTTGTATTCGTAATAAACATATATTCTCAGTGTCGATCCCTGATTTTTTATATGAAATGTGTTCTGAATGAGTGAGTGAGTATGGTTTTACGCCGCTTTAAGCAATAATCCAGCAATAGCACGGCTGGGGACACCAGTAATGGGCTTCACACATTGTGAACCCGGGTCTTCCGCGTGACGAGCGGACGCTTTAACCACCAGGCTACCCCACCGCCCCGTGTCCTGAATGAAAACATCCTAGTTGCCCATGAAGTCATACGTTTCTGTTGTTACTGAGAGCGTTTATTATGGCGATATCACGATTGAGTGAGTGAGTTTAGTTTTACGCCGCACTCAGCAATATTCCAGCTATATGGCGGCGGTCTGTATATAATCGAGTCTGGACCAGACAATCCAGTGATCAACAGCATGAGCATCGATCTACGCAATTGGGATACGATGACAAGTGTCAACCAAGTCAGCGAGTCCGGATCTCCATGCATGTGACCAGACCATAGGGCTAGATCAGTGAGATACGTACCATGCTACGGTTTGAATAATCCCCGAGCATACTGTGTTAGTCTTAAGAGGCTACAAAATAGTGTGGTTCAAAGTTAGAAAGCGCCTCAAGCGTACTAAGCTAGTCATGAGAAGGTACAAAATGTCATGGTTCAATGTTACATTAAGTCCTCAGCACATTATGCTTGCCGTGCGAGGGTACGAAATGGCGTGATTTAAGGCTAGAATAGGCCCTGACCTCAGTGTGCTAGTCGTGAGAGGGTACAAAATCTTGTGCTTCAAGGTTACATTAGCTTCTAAGCACATTATGTTTGTCGTATGAGGGTACAAAATGGCGGGATTTAAAGCTAGAATAGGTCATGACCTCAGTATGCTAGTCGTGAGAGGGTACACAATCTTGTATGCCATTCGTGCGAGGGTTCAAAATGGAGTGATTTAAGGCTAGAATACGTCCAAAGCACACTATATTAATCGTGAGATGTTAAAAAAGGCTTGGTTCAAGATTACAAAGGCCACGAAATTACTGTGCAAAGGGTACAAAATGGCGAGATTCAAAGCTTGGATAGGTCCTGAATAGGTTACACTGACTTTATTTAGTAGAATCGATAGATCGTTTGGTTTAAGAAAAATATAATGATCCTAACCGATCAATTGATCTATTTCGTTGCCAATAACAACAGGGACAGGCAGCTCGGGATCAATTGAAATTCTGAAATCACTAACTGCCTTGACATGGAATCATTATCAGTTAAGACTGCGTAATTTCACGCAACAGAAACTAATACACCAGTCAATAGTCAGGCCACACCTGTGCTTTCATGCAGAGCCGCGCTTAAGGCTGCGTGAACACCACTAATTCTAACCCAAATTTTCACTGGTCCCTGTACGAAATATAACACTAATGACTGAAGTTTCAAATAGTTTCAGGTATCTGTCCATGCGGTTACCGACGCATGGGAGACACATGCGTGATGGTGTACAATACACCAATACCCAACGCTCGAGCAAGGAGCAGGTGCCAACAGGATGGCGGAGATTTGATGGCCATGACAACTGGTGACAAGCTAACAAGGCTCGTGAATCACATGCAGGAACATGGTTTGTGGTTGTTTTATATTTAAACACTTTAGCGAAAAGCGTAAACAATCGAAAAGTGCAAAAGTGAGTGAGTTTAGTTTTACAAGGTTTTAGCAATATTAAAGTAATATCATGGATGGGTACACCGGAAGTTGGCTTCACACATCGTGCTCAAGTAGGGAATCGAACCCTGGTCTTTGGCATGACGCGCAACCGCTTTAACCACTAGGCTACCCCCACCGCCCAAGTGCCAAAGAAATTGTACCAGGTTGTGCAAAATGCTGCACCCTACGACAGCACCAATGTGAAGATCTAACTATTCCCTTTCATTGTATGCCTACGTATACAAAAGTGAGACACGATGAGCATGAATGATGGACTAAGCGCCTGAACACCTGTATCTTATTCTCTTGTGTGTTTTTGATTGTTTTATCTGGCACCACTCTCTGGAATGTCACGGTTTTCGGTGGTTTTCGATGGTTTTCTGGAAATAATCGAGTCTGGACCAGACAATCCACTGATTCACATCATTGTCACCGATCTACGCATTTAGAATACGATGACATGCATCAACCAAGTCAGCGAGCTTGATTGCCCGCTCCTGTTAGTCTTCTCTTGTGACAAAGAGGGTTACTGAAGACCAATTCTAACTGTGGTGGAATTCTGAAAGGGGACACATTACATCTGTGTTACGACGCTGCAGCGAAGGTTTAATTCGATACAGAGCTTTTTTACCCCAACCAAAGAGTGAGTGAGTGAGTATAGTTTTACGCCACTTTTAGCAATATTCCAGCAATATCACGGCGGGGACACCAGAAATAGACTTCACACATTGTACCCATATGAGGAATCGAACCCGGGTCGTCGGCGTGACGAGCAAACGCTTTAACCACTAGGCTAAATGTGAATACTAG